TTTCTCAGTTGAGTTGGATTGAATTCAGATTAAAAAAAAAAAATATATATATATATATATATATATATGTGTAATTTGCTGCTTTTCTCCACAGACACAGAACTAATGTTCACATGACAACCTTGTCTAAAAGGATTTTCCAAGCCAATTTCCACTAGATTTGATGTCATAATAAGCATGTAAAACCCTAATTATCGCATAGCACCATCTTGTGACTCCAAGCAACGTTTTGTGCAACAAATGTCTACTTTTTTTTCCTAAAGAAATCTGGTGACACAGATTAATTACAGCTTGAATAGGATAGATTTAAGCAATGCTGACGATTTATTATAACTTCTGTATTTGACAGAAGGATATGGACATCATGTAAAAACACTACAGGCAGGAAAACAGGTTTTTCATAGCTAAGAAGAGGCCCAATCTTACCATGTGAAGTTCCCCGATGAAGTACTGCTGGAGCATCTCCCTGGCATCTGTAGAATGACCCACATCCTCAAAGCTCTCTGTGGCATCTGCGCCTGCCTGCTCCAGCAAAACCTCCTCACCTCCCGGATGCTGAAGGTATAGCATGTGTTAACACAGAGCGTTAACGAGTTTATTTCCTTTTTTGCCCCACACTTAGAATATTGTACAGCTAATTTCTATGCTTAGTTAGGTTTACCCCAAGGCGATAAAAAAAATAAATAAATAATAAAATAAAACTCTTGAAACACTTGAAATCACAGCCAAATAAGTGAAATACACCAATGTGATCTTTCAGTGGTGGAAAGTACATTTACTCCAGTACTGTACTTGGTAGGTATTTAACTATACTAGTGTTTTTCCATTTTATGCTATGTTATACTTCTACACCACTACATTGTAAAGTGAAATATTGTTCTCTTTGTACCACTACAATTACCAGCTTACATTACCAGTTACTTTGCAGATTGCGATTTTACATACAAAGCATAAAATGTGCTTCTAAAATGCAATGCATCCTGCCATATATTACGTAGTTTACTGCAACAGCATCAAAATGCTGCTAACACGATAAAGCATCTAAAATATTTATCCAATTACTTGATATATAATAATGCTAAGACCCTGAGAAAGGCCATTTAGGATCTCATTATCCTAACTAACTAAAGTTGAAGTTTTGAATGCAGAACTTGTATGGAGCCTTTTTTACTCTGTGTGCATACTTGCTCCAGCACTAGTATTACTATTGACCACTTACTACACTGTCGCTTGATGTTATCTTACAGCCAGATCAGATAGTTTATGTGTCACCCTGAATGCAATTTTCACAATTAACCTATGTCAATGCCGCTATAATTTCATATTTAATACAGGATTGCCAACAATGTTGCTGTTCAGGCTTATATTCTGCAGATATATCGGTGTATCTCGGTGTAAGCAACAATAACGCTATGAAAATGGTGGGCAACAGCTTAACGACTACTATTAGTCGTTAGCTATAGTGTAGCTACAAGTTTTTATTCCCCCAGTTATGTTAGGTTGTGTAACTTAAGCTGTGTATTGTCTAACCCAGAGTTCACTTTATACTAACAGGCTATAAACAGCGTTGCTGATCATTAACAGCTCGACTGAAGACATTACACGTCGACACATACAACAAACGTTTTCTAATTCCAGGAAGTGACATTAATATACGAAGTTTGGTAACTAAAGGCTTAAAACACAGACATAAAATTACCTTGACCAGCTGTCAGAAATTGTGTCTTACCTCTTCGAGGAAAGTTGTGATGTCATATATTTTATCGTGGATGATGAGCCATGTGTCGTTGCATATATTATGCACTCTTACTTCTTCTAATGTGTAATATGTTACACCGCCTTCCACCGTTTCGCCGTTTTCCTCCACACTGGTGGCACTGGCGGCTCCACTGCATTGCTTATTGAGGTTTTCGTTGATTTCCTCATCCATTGTAACGATAACGCTAACAACCTTATATAGACTGAGCGGTTAGCTAACGTTAGCCTCTGTTAGCCAGGTATGGATGTAACGTTAGTTAGCTACTTCCAGGTCAGTTTCCACCGTGTTTGAACGCGGTTAGTTGTCCTCTAAAGCTCCTAATGCCGCCGGGGAGACGAGCTAACATTAAAAAAAACCAGTATAACAACACGAATGCTACACGATGTTGGGTTACGAAATCAAAAAACAGCCTAACCCGGCACATCAGCTCACATGTGTAACAGACCAATGGCATGCGTGTTATTTTACCATGAAGAGGAGACAACGCGACTGACCAATGAGGCTGCGACTTTCCGAGTGACGACCAATCAAGATCGAGCAGTTAATGATCATGAGACTAGGATATTTACAAAGGTTGTCAAATGTGCACTGTCATTGCGCATACAAGTTTTTTTTTCTCGTTTCCGATGACATAAGCTGACTTTATGTGGTGTGTATGTAACATTTCGTAACAGCTGCTTTGTTTTCGGGATATTTTAATTACCATGGAGCCCCTAAAGTTCCCGAAAGGAATTCATATGCATCTCTAACGTCATATAATGGAGAGGAGTCAGCTTATCAAGTTTTAGTTTCACCACCAATGTTTGTCAAACCATGAAACTCTTGCTGCTCTTGCTGAAATCTGAATGTCCGCCAGATTCTGTTTAGAGGGGCATGGACACTTTAGTAAAACGGGCGAATAACAGAAAGCTATCTTCTTCTGTCTTATCAACCAGCTCACCCACCAATAACATAAGCCAAATTGACTGCTTAAAAAGCACATGAACACAGCAAATGTTTCAGACGATAGTGGGAGAAATCAGCAAACATATGCTTAATAAAGCACAAGATAAGCTAACTTGGGCCCGTAAGATAAGTAACTTGTAATTTATTTTTACTTATATGTAAACTATTTTATATATTCGTGTTAGATATGTGTAATATGGAGGTATTTATTTATATCTTTAACTGTATGGAGGTAAGAAAAACGCAAATTTCCACTGTCAGGGATCAACAAAGTATTGCTGGATTCTGATTTCTGATTCTTACCTGTTGGTCAGGGCCAATTACAAAAACGTGGAATTAATGTACAAATGAAAAATGGGCTTAGCACACTTGTAATAAATATATATCAGAATACAGGCATGTAATTTAAATTGTCTCTTTATATGAAGTGCAAATAATAGAATAGACAATTTCAACACTAGCGAAACACATAACAACACAGTTTTTAGTTTTGTGAGATTAAATAGACTAAAGTCTACATCACAATCAGAATCACTTTACATTGCGCCGAGCTATGTGCACACATACCAAGGAATTTGACTGCGGTTTTACGTTGATCTCAATATACATGCACAGACTAAGCATAAATAAACAGGACAACAAGCTGAACAAAATAGACATAAACTACCATGTACGGTTATACATATATAAACCAATAAAATAATAACATTTGTAGACAGTAGACAATAGTGCAAATACATATTTAGTACATACCTACTACTGTACTTAAGTGATTTTACATTTTTACATATGAATAACTGGGCCTCATTCTGTACTGATAGGGGGGCCTGTGAAACATATGTATGTTACTGATATGTCAAGTTACCAACCACAAGATGGTAGCGGCAGATACTATACATTGTCAGTGGTCCATAATATACTTCACATGTAAAGCTTTCATCCTCTGCAGCCACATTCAGGTGTCAGAAATCAGAATCAGGGTCATTGCCAAGCAGGTTTTCACATAGAGATACAAGGAATTTGGTAAATAAAGTCAAGAACACAAATGAAAAAAAATACAAAACATATAGAATCAGCATAAAATATATATACACTTACAATACAGCATAACTTTTGGTAAAAAATCTGCTACTCATGCAACATCAGGAAAAACACATGTTGGCTGCAAAAGTTCAAACCCTGTCACCAACCCTGCCCCCATGTCAACAGAGTGCCTAAAGACCTCTGTACACAATGCTAAAGTCTTAAAGTTATTTGCCTTTACAGCCTCCCATGTGACCTGCTGTGTCAGAGAGAGACTGATAACTCACTATGCAAGGTTAGGATCCAAACTAATCACCAACTTAATGGTTGCAATTTAAACATCACTTGTGATGTTTAATACAGCATTGTTTTGTCGAAAACAAACAAACAAAAAACATTTTAAGAGTATAAACTGTAGTCCTGGCATAACTAAAGCAACAAATAGAGTACTGCATGTGTTAATTTTAGTTTATTTGTTATGTTTTATAGTTAATATGTTTCTAAAATTCATTAAATGTGACCATCAATACATGTTTTAGTCAACAATTTTCTAAATCAGTGTCACAATCTCCAAGCTCTTAATGTTTTTTTTAAAAAAAAAGTCAGTTTACAACTCATTTCCTGAACACGGGGCAGAGATGCCACACATTCTTCAGTTTTCCAAGGCTGCTGCATTTTAAATCCCAAAGATGTGACTTTCTTTTTGTCTCAGCTATCCTTAAATAGTTATTAGTTTACACTTTCACAATTTAACAATTGCATTTTTTAATAATATCTATGGGCAGAGAGGGCCTATTTCCTCATAAATCATTACAGCTGAGACCATACCAGAGATCATGATGTTTTGTGTTTGTTTGTGTTCTTTAAGAGTGTCTGTGGTTCAAGTTTTGTTTCCATCATCTTTTCAGTATTCTCTAGACAAGACCATGCTAGTATTTCCGTCAGTCTTAAAGAATCTCAGGGTTTTTAGTTTACGTATAATTGGGTAAGTAATACATGTATTATTAATTCTAATGATGTTCTTCTTAGTTAAAGTGTCTAAAAGGGTGTAGTCTAAGGTTTTTTTGTCTGTATTTATTACCGGAATATAGGGATTTGTGGTGTTTGGAAAACTTTGAAAACATTTTTATTGGACTTTGACTGTTTTTCATGTTTTTACAATCAGTGTTTGAATCATTCGGTGCACTTAAGCTTTTGGATTAAAACAGATAATAAACATTTCCTTTTTGCATCCACGTGTCACATTTTCTGTGTGGTTATAGCAATCTCATGCCTAACTGCTGTGCTTTACTCACATCTCATCCTCTGTTATCACAACCTGTTTAAATAAAGTTTCCCTTTTGTTTTTTCTGCCGCCCCTTAGAATTGTGGGATTGCAATGGCTGCTCCCTTGTCTGTAAACATACGCGTTGTGTTTACGAAAGCCGCTGTGTAAATATTATCCAGTGGCAGCCAGGGGTCCGTCACGTTGTGGGACTACCTACCCGAACATAAGTTGACCTCAAATCTTGAACTTAATGTGATCATTTGTTTATTTTAGTGGAAAAGGAACACGCGGAGGTTCCCCGCAGTTTGCCGCCCGGCCTTGTCCGGACACAACCGGATAGCTCGCAGGCTAACTAACGCTACTGCTCCGAGGTACGTAGTAGTTTCATTTCATTTGATCTCATCGTTATTAAACGGGGGACACATCATCATTTGACTTGCTTACTTGTTATCCTAGCCCCCTTTGTGACCTTGGAGTGAAATAGAAAGTGTTGAGGTCACAAATGGGACGACTACTGGCCAGAAAGATGCTGATAGTGTTGACATGTATGTGTGTATGTGTGTGAGTTATAACTTTATAACAAGGGTATTAATGTCTTGCTGGGTGGTTTGTTTATGAGTAGGTTCAATTTCTAACGTACAATTTGAACGTGATAATGATTGTTTGTGTCTGTGTCCGTACACTCGGTTCACTGTAGCGCTGACTCAGTTAGTACACCGCCAGGAAATGAATCGAGAACAAATCTGATAACCCATTAACTTACTTAAGATTTTTCATTTAAGTTCAGTCAATCAATGAAGTAGCTGGGACATTTGCATGTTAAAGCTTTTTCCACTTTAAGGATTTGACTGCTTGTCTCTGTCTTATTATTGAAAATTAGAGGTGACACAATATCTAGTTGATTAAGTAATAAATCGATCGACAGAAATTTGCGACAATTTTCATAATCAGCTAATTGTATAAGTTATTTTTAAGCAGAAAATTGACTGTTGGTTGGACAGATGACTATTTTCTCTTATTGATTAAATAATTCATCAGTCTTATTAAGAAAAATAAAATAATTAGAGACAGACAGTCCTACTTCAGTGATGACAAATGCTCAAGCCAGTTTGAAACAATAACTATAACTAAGTAATTATGTTTTAAAGGTGTTGCCATGAGTAACATTTTCACCTTTTGCACTTATTATTTCCCCACAGATAATGGATGACGATGTGTCCATGCATAGGCTGGAAGGGACTGATCCAGCTGCTCAAGTTGGTGGACTGATAGTGAAGAAGAAGAGCGCTGCTGCAGAGCCCCATGTTTTTCGAGCACCCACTCCACGCACCTCCTTGCTGGGCTTGGACCTGCTGGCAGCCCAGAAAAGGAAAGAGCGGGAGAGTAAGGAACAGGCTGATGCTTGTGGCGATGACAGAAATAACAAGAAGTCAAAGGTTTCGTCCTACAAGGACTGGGAGGAAGGTAAAAGTGACTCCGGGTCAGATGAAGAAGAAGATGATGATAAGAACAAAGGTGCTAAGAAGGAGAGGTAAGTGTCAGTGCTTCACACAGAATAATATTTGATTGAAAATGATGAATGATGGATTTATAGACAGACAACCCTCATGTCTATGGAGAGCTGAAGAGTTCAATTCTAAATAAGTAAGACATAATGAAATGTAAAAAATTATGAATAAATACAAACACAGACTTTGAGATGAAAAGTGCCATTAATATTATTTATAATGCTGTTGTGAAATAAAAACAGCTGGAAATAAATCAAAATTAATTGAACTCCATGACTGTGAAAAGCAGGACAGTTTTGGGCTGTATTATTTCACAATTACATGGTTACCATATTTTGTTTGTATTTGTTAAAACAATAATTTGTTTAATTTCCTGTCTTGTTTATTTATTTATTTAGTTTTGAAGAACTTGGACCGTTCCACTCATTATTTTACTAACTGTAATAGCGTACTAATACGTATAGTGTGACTAATGTGTAACGTTTTATTTTCGTCTTGGCAGCAGGAAGTATCGTGTGACTGGCTCTGAGACACCCTCAAACCCCGGAGGGGTCAGTGAAGAGTTCCGACGCAGACACCAGCAGAGGGAGAAAGACAGACGTGAGCACGGAGTCTACGCTTCTTCCAAAGAGGACAAGAACAGAGAGAGAGACAGAGAAAGGAGCAGAGATAAGGGCAGAGACCGAAGGAGTGAAAGAGGTGATTTTTGCTGATATTTTT